AACTGTGGCTTACTTACACATCGACACAGGGGAGTATCAGCCAGCTAACATATGTAAGTCCATTATCCACTCCTTTTAGTTCTGTTTATGTTCTTTATCACCTCTGAAGAAAAATATTGGACTGCAGTGCTTAACTAATTGTTCCATTATGTCTGCAGGCTAGTCACTAACTTTCTCTGTTGTTGGGGCTCGGTAGTTAGTGCAGATTCTGGTTTTAGTGTTTTCGCTGAAGACAGCTGCCTGAAATGAGGTTGATAAGAGTGACTGAACCACAACAGGACAACTGTGGGCCCCTAAAGCCAAAACAATGGGCTCAAAGACACTGAAAGTATTGTAGAGATGTGGGAAAATGCAGTCATGTATTAATTCTTTGTAGGCTGGTCAGAACAAGTGACACATTTCACATTGCATGTAGTCATTTGATCCATTTTAACAAACATATTGATTGTAGCAGATTTAATCTCACAGCTCATAAACAGGCAAACTGTAAAGACTGTGGTCACGAAAAAGATAATGCTTTACTGTGAATGTTAAAAACCAAAACGTTTGGAAACCATTAAACAATTATTTTACATTATACATTGCATAAATATTGCAAAAATAATTTGTTATTAAAGTCAATACAAACAGGCTCCATCTAATAACCAGACAGGGCAGGTCTCATCTGCCTGTACACTAGTCTCTTCACTCTGCTTTTCTGCATAAGGATCTAAACCATACGTGGATGTAGCCAATCACTGACATGTGAAATACTTATCCATTCCACTGTGCTAGCCTGGGTCATCGGGTTGTACACCTGGCACTGCTCATACCTGTAATCAGTTTAATGGACAGACTGTGCTGCAGCTTAGTTGGTGGACAGTTTTTTTGTTTGCTGTGAAAATACAAACTTTTCAAGCTGAAGAGACATTGTCAATGTCTTGTCATCTTCCTAACTTCCTTATTGGAGTTTGTCACCTTAAGAGCACACAAATTCCTCTGAGACACCGTTTATTCTCATGTCTTCATCATCCTTGCCCATTTTGGTAATCCATATCCCTCTCCTTTGAAAAAGGTGACTACTTTACAGTTCAAATACTCGTTTTGACCCCTTCCACCTTATTCAACCAAGGTCTAGTTATTTCACATTTCCGCTGTATTCTGTCTTTATTACTGCTATGTCAGTGAGGTTGTGAAAAACAAATCAGGACTGTTGTGAAGATGCCCGGGCAGGTGCTTCAGAGTTGGCTGGAGTGTTCTTTCCTATCATGAGATCTAACAGCAATGCATGTGCACCACCTAGTGTTGATGAGAAGAATCACATGCCAAGTAAGAGAGACATCAAAACACAATATTCTTATATGACCATTGGCTCTACGTTTTGTGAAAGGAGTCCATAGATGAACCAACAGAATTATCATGCGACTTTGCAACAGTTTTGCTTGGGTGAGTATTTTGTCCCTACCAATATTGAGACCAAACCTATACCCTTGCTTATCTCTACAGTGGTTTAGCTTCTTGTTGAGCTCATGGTTTTGGTTTTACAGCCTACACCATCAAGGTTTTGATTTGGTCTCCCTGCTCTCATCAATGTTGCCTGGAAACACAGCAGGCAGCTGTTTTAAGCTCCATTAAACCCACTGTACACTACCTGCCCACCATCAAACAAAAGGCAATGTTAGTTCTCAGCTGGTGAACATACTGGTGAGAATTCAGTGGCTAAAGAGAAATACTACTCTCAGGAGTCACCGAAAACCAACACAGAATGCAGACAAGAAAGAATTTTGGACTTGCATCTACCAAGGGGCCAGAAACATGACTTCAATACAGACTAATTTTGCTGTACCTACTAAAATGTACAGAATAAAATAAATGTTTCCTAGCATTTTTGCCATAATTTTATAAAATTATAAAGTCAAAGGGTAAATTCCAGTTCCTTTAACTCTTTGTTCACGATCAAACTGGAAATCATTCCAAAGGACGTCACAAAGCTCTAATTCCTGCTCTGACGAGTGAGGGTTGAGGAAGTCACTTGGAGGAGCTATGAGAGTGGATCCACATCCTTCATCAAAATCTTGTATAGACTGACACACCCCTTCACTGAAAATCAGTTGGTGATTGGAAGGATCGGTGAAAAATGTGGTCTCATGTCTAAAAATGTGTCTCCTCGAGTCCACTTTATTTACATCCTAGTGATCAGGACAAGGAGCCAAGGAAAAATGCAAGTTAGGGAAGAGTGGATGCACTTAAGAGAACCGAGATTTACCCAGTGTCCTTTTACAGCTCGAAGTGTTGCCCCCTGTTGGCCAAAAATAATTACATGTGAATAAGTCAGGACAAAGAAAGACGGGCTACCACCTTTAAACCCGCCGGTTTAAAAACCCTCATTGTAATGGGGTAATATTATATTGCACCTACATGTACATGTGTACGCCAAAATCTCAGTGGTCCAAATCACTGTCCATGCTTCCCCCCCCCCCCCCCCCCTTTTCCACCAAGGGGACGAAACGACGCGACGG